AAAATTTGACTTAAACCTAAAATATTTCCTTTTGACTGCTTTTCTTTAAAATTTCTCGTTACATCAATCGCTTAGAAAAACCTTAAATTAATCTTACTCTTAAATGACTTACATCTGAACGAGGTCCTTTGTCACCATTGTTCATCATTGCAGGAGACTCGCTTTTGATGGTTCCGGAAACTTTCAGCAGCATTTCTCTGACTACTTCAATCTGACCATACTGAGCAGCCACGTGAAGGGCGGACAGGCCGGTCTGCAGCGTAGTGCAAATAAAAAGGTTCAATTTGAAAATTCAAATCATAACTCGCGCATAATGTTGCGCAAGATTTCAAAACTAAGGTTCCTATTGAGCAGAACCTTGACTCTTTAAACCCTAAGAGAGACCAGCATCTAATTTCTCCTTACAATATCACACCTGAAACACACATTAAGTTCACGAGAATATAGGAAATGATCACTAAATAAAGAAACTCTTGACCGTTTAACAAATTCTCCTTATCAACACCTCAGCAAATGTAGATAATAGAGTATGGAGAACACGCATACCGATGTTAGGGTGTAAAGGGCTAAAAGCTCTCCACACTTCGACTGAAGAACGCAGAAAGACAGGTCCTTTAAAGTTACGTCTTACCCAGAAAATCATCGTGTCTTAATACCTGATACAATAAAAGTTTATCTGCATCTGTTTATTTGTTTTCTTTACCTTAACGCTTGCCATGCTCCAAGGAACCTTTCCGCGCAAAACCTCTAAGACGTCCACGTGTCCAAACCTTGCTGCGAGATGAAGAACTGTCATCCCTTCCTGTCAGTGGAAGAGAAGAACTGAACTTTACTTAAAGTTGTTGTAAGAGTCATTCCTGCTATTTTGAGACGTCAAGTATTCGTTTTGGCTAATGGAAGCATTCTTTTCTAAGGCCTTTTTTAACGGTCAATCAACTAAGGTGGTAAAAAAGAGGTTACCTGGCTTTTACTATTAGGTTTGTAGATGCATGAAGCTACTTGTTTAAACGGTCCTTCCTCAAACTGCACCAATCAGCTCTACATTTCACATTGCAAGTTCCTTAGGGCTAAACATCTCCACTACTGTTAGTTTAAGAGTATTGTCCATTGTGTTAAAGAAAGACCAGATGGGGCCTGGTACTTACCGCATCTTCATCACTTGCCGAAGCTCCATGAGCTATCAACACTTCCACAACAACTTTATGACCACCGCTGGCTGCAAGCAACAAGGGCGTAGAAAACTTTCCCTGTAAGGGACAGAGTATGACGGCGTTAGCTTTTAGAGGAGAAACGAAGAGTTCAAGATACCGCAGAGATTGGATTCGAGGATAAAACAGTGTTTGACTGTAAAAGCTTTTCATGGGTACAATTCTACGTTGGTGCTAATGAAGGACTCGAGTAAGCCGAGTTCGAGTAAGCAATATTATACTACGGTTAACTAGCAATTCTTAAATGGTTGTTTTACCTTGTTTCTGGCTGTTGTGATTCCTGAAGGGTTAAATTTCAATAGCTCCTTCATCACAGACACACTGCCTTTCATTGCTGCAATATGAACACACGTGCTGCCCTCCTATGGGATAAGAAAGCGAAAGAAAGTCACTAATACTTTTTTCATTGTCGGTCAAAGCAGATCACTCAGCCATGTTGAGATTAACAAATAAAGGGAGTAAGGTTTTTAAGAAACTGTGGTGCTGCGTCGGTTGGGGATTATAACAAGATAATTTTTTTGTATCAACTGAGTAACTTGGCCACCGTAAAGAGTTTCAGAGCAGACGCTTTGAGCGTTAGCTCTTCGTCAGAGCGAATGCGAGCAACCTTTGGTAATGATCTTCTGTCTTCTTACCGCGTTCTGTTGCATCATGACTCCAGGTTTGTGAGTTAGAAACAGCGTTACTACTTGTGAATGATCATTTTGTGCGGCGTAGTGAAGAGGCGTTTGACCTTTCTGTGGATAACAGGCAAAAAAAAAAGGTTCATATTGAAGACTGCAAGCGGCTTTCCAGCCGAAAAAAGGGTACGTCTCTAAAGAACATGTGGTGCTGCGTCAGCGGGGCATATTACTAGATAAGTTGTTTCATCAACCGAGTTGATATTTTGAATCTGCCACCATAGAGATTTTCTACAGCTGGCGTTTCGAGCGTTAGCCCTTCGTCAGAGCGAATCTTTACAGTGGCTAACATTATCAACTCAGTCGATAAAACCAAATTGGCTATCTAGTTAGCTTAGTACGTTGCGCCAGTAAACAAAGTTAAACGAACATGAAATAAACGAAAAAAATGAAGTTGGCGTTGCGCGTACTTATAAGGCCAGGCCTGTTCTTCCACGCACGCCACGCTTGTGACTATTAAAGTGCTTTTAGCCATTTAGAAAAGACTGTGTTTTCATTTAATCAAACGCAAAGGAAAAAACCGCCAGCAGCTTGGGGAGGTTTGGTATTGCACGACTTTCCCGTGCTTAGCACCCATTATATGAGTTAAGCGATTGCGCTTGGAGCAGTTTCTTTTTTATTATTTCTAGAGTCAATGTATTCCTCTTGTTTGACATGATTAGTAACTTGTCGACGACGTCCAAGACTCGCCTTAAATTTGAAATAAACAATCACTTAGCCTAAGTGATGTCTCGGACAAAGGAGTAGTCATTTTATGATGATGGACGGCACTTACGTTGTCCAGCGCGCTTATGTCGGCTCTTAACTCCAAAAGGTGTTCACAGACTTGTAATCGGCCCTTCTCTGCGGCTAAATGAAGAGCTGTCTTCTTTTCCTATCAAAATAGAGATGTGCTTTGCGTTAGCGATTCGTAATTAAATATTTCCGCGCAAAATTAGATCGCTGTTATTAAGGAACAGACTCTCACCAGCGTCAAAGCATCCACACTAGCTTTATAGCTAGCGACCAGAAGTCCGACTAACTCTTTGTGGCCGCTCTCTGCCGCCAGATGAAGTGGAGTGAGCCCCACCTGAAAGAGACAAGAATCAATGTCTGAACAAAAACACTGAGTCAAACGTGTCCTGTACTTTTATTACTTCAGGTGATCTTCCTTCCATCTCTCCCTCTACGTAGTCTTCTTCAGTAAAGGAGAGAAAAGGGTTTGGAAATTTGTACCTGGAAATAATTTTCAGTGTCAAGTGTGGTGGGTATTCTTACAGCATTTAGGCCTCTGTGGAGATCGAAGTGCCCGGGGAGGTGCTCCACCCAGGTGTAGGGGTGTACTCAGGTGAAAAGCGCGCCAGGCATTTATGCTTGGAGGCTTTTTGAGGCTAATAAACGTAAGCGAACGTCTTTCCGTCTACCATACTTTGAGTGAGTTCAGACCCACATATAAGCCAGCATTACATCGGGTTGGCACTTAGTAACGTCGTCTACGAATGGATGGGTCACGGGAAAGGCATATCACAACGGTTCCTCCTCATCAGTGCTACAGATTAAATTTTTGGTATGAACAAGATCATGTACATCTTTTATGTATAGCCTCACCTTGCTTTTCGCATTCACATAAGCTTTGTGCTCCAGCAATTCTTTCGCCACCTCAAGATGACCGCGTTCTGCGCAGATGTGTAAAGCAGCTCGCCCAGACTGGTAAAAGAAAAGAACACAAAAAAATACTTAGTTGGGGAAATTTCAACTTGAGAATCAATCAATCATAATGCAATGACAGTTATCTCGCCACAATGCTCACACGCTCAAATCCGAAACTGAAAGATAATTTTATTTAAGTTACTAAATCAGAGAGTACCTCATCAAAGACATCTACTCTTGCATGGTACTTCAGCAACGTACGCACAATTTCCGCGTTTCCTTTGTATGAAGCAACAAGCAGAGGCGAAGAACCACTCTGAAACCAGGAAAACAATCCGTATGAGTAGCAAGAAGTTACATACCTGATTACCTTCAATAGCGATCAATGATTCTCCAGGAAAATACCACAGACTGCTTTAAATAAATACACTAGTATAAGTTAGTTGCCACTGTTTAGAGCGGCCCCCCTTTCCCCCTCTGTAAAAGCAATTAAATGCTAAAGTATTTTAATTGGAGCACGAAGACCAAATGATCATTTTCTCCAATTTCGCTTCTGAGGTTCATTCGAGATAGATCATGGAGCACTTTTTCTGGGAAAAGTTCCTGTCAACCTTAATAAACTGACTGACCTGATGTTGGCCCAAATCATATCTAATTTGCCTTTATTTTAACGGGGCAGCCAGAAAAGGGGCGGTTACACAGAAATCCTGATAAACGACTTACTGACGATCGTTTGTTGACCGTGACTTGAAGCTTGGAAGGGGGAATGGACTTTAATAAAGCTATCAAGATGTCGTTGTTCCCTGAGCGTGCGCACTCGTGGATTGGAGTCTCCATGGACTGAAAAAGATTGGAGAAGAAAAAGTAGCAATCAGAATCGTATTACGGGGGTGAGGTACGGGTATTCACGAAATTGACTCATGTGAAAGTGACACACGAGCTTTTTTGAGGGCAATTGTTAAAATGCACATACTCGTGACTAACCGAACTAGTGCGTGCGCACTTTGTACGTAGCCGTTTGTGATGTGAGTGTATCAAACGAATCATATGCGTAAAAATAATAATCATTCCCTAGATTTAACGGTCATCAATAGAAAGCAGACACTTTGTTGTCGAGTATGTGAAAATTAACCCACCTGATGCGTGACTGCTGTGCAATCGGCACCGTGTTCAAGAAGCAATTTGACGATATCTATGTCAGCATTCCCTTTGACTTTCAGTTTGGATAACTTGGCAGCGTAATGCAGAGGAGTCTCACCTTTCTATAAAAAAAAAAATTAAAGGTGTAGGTAGCAGTCAAACAAACGTGGGAAACATCAGGGATGTAACATGCAAGTTATAGCAATGTTCTAACTTGACATTTTAAAACTGTAAAGAACGCGAACATCAGAATGTTTACTCATCAAGGTCTTTTCTTGAAGACTAAGTGTATGTCCTTATGCAGAAGAAAATTGGGACGAATTGTTGTTGTGTTAAGATGTAATCGGTAATATACCAAAACAACATTCATTTTGTCTATTTCTCTGAAAGTTAACTATACTGATTTGAGCTTCTGAACAGAGATAATTTATATACGTCTCCACTAATTTCTACCTGGATCTCCTTCAATGGGGCGACTTGACTAAAAGCGCCTCTCTCCCCTTTTAAGCTAAAAAGATTGACTTTTTCTGTTACTTACATCAGTTGGCATATTGATGACAAGTCTTGCTACAGCTTTAGACTTCATTTGGAATAAGACTCGAATCAATTCTTCTAGCACTAAGTAGTGTCCTGCCCGGATGGCGTGATGGAGGGCAGATTCGCCATTCTGACACCAAAACAAACATGCATGCTTTGTTAATAATAACCATCTTCAAATATCTTCCAGATGTGATTAGAATGTATATTCCCCTTAAAATGTTAAAGTAGTAACCAGCAAAGGGGTGATGAGAGTTAATAAACTTGATCAGACATCAGATTTTCTCGATGAATTTACGGATGAGATCGCGATGGTTAAAGAAACTTTCTTGAACTTTCGCAATCAGTGTTTACCTTTGGTGTTCGATCATAAAAAGCGATGTTTTTATTTTTCTTTAAGGTACGATCTTTTTCCCACCTTTCAAGCTAAGCCCTTCCTGTTAAAATGTTTTTCTTTCTTCAAACTCTACAGAAGATCACCAGGTTGTGAGAGAAACTTAAGGCAGCACACAAATAAATGTCGATTCGCCTCAAATCTCAAATTACCGTCAATCTTTCCTCAAACAACCCGGCCTACTTGATTTCTCGATCTAATACTAGAAGGTGTATGATTTTGACGGTGATCTCAAAAAGAATTCGTCAGTCTACCTTCGCTCTCCTCGCAGCATCAGCTTTTTCGTTGATGAGCAGCTTTAATATTTTCAAGTTTCCAAATCTTGCGGCCACATGCACCGCTGTCTCTCCATTCTACAAAAAAACGACCCTTATTACTAACGATAAACAACCTGTAACGAGCTCATTGAAAAGAACCAGATTGAACTTATACAACCAGGGGGAAAAACGGATGGTAATTTCTCATTTGCTGTGGGAGGGGATGAAAGATAGAAGATCTTTGGGGAAAAATAGGATACAACCGAGTTGGAGGGGATTCTTTCCCCCTCCCCTCCCCCGCACCTCATTGCTCCCGCCCCCGTCACGCTTCTCCCCATACCTAAGAATCATAACTAGTGATATGTTGACATTACTGCCATGCCTGTTATGTTACTTAGTGCGTCAACGTCCTCTCATGTTCGATTGCAAGTAGAAGGCAATGGTTGGAGGGAGAAAATTAAAGTTTGCAACGCCCTCAGGAGAGAAAGGTAAGATTAACGAGATTCATGTACAAATGTACTAGTTTTTTTTAGATGACTTTAACAGGGGTGTGAGACCCCTTTTCCTTCCCACTCACCCCCTCATATCGCCTTTTCTTCTTATGCCCTAGAATTACAACAAGTATTCAAGTGTAAGAACTATTCCTTACGTCACTCGGTGCATTGACATCTGCTCCACTCTTGGTCAGCATCTCTGCTACTTTTTCGCCATCCTTGGTCCGTGCTGCAATGTGCAACGGTGTCTCTTCGGCCTAAAATAAAAACCAAGACAGGAGAACTGTGTTCAGCCTGAAGGGAAAAAGCTGACCACTCCTTAAAACTGAGAAAATTAATTCTGATCTTGAAATGAGGACCCCAAAGCTCATCGAGGTGATATGTTCTCACGGCTAATTCAATGAAATCAGCTCTGTTCAAACTAGTAGAAACAGTTCCAACTCACCTTGCCCCCTCTGTGCTGGACATTGGCGCCATATCCCAGTAAGACTTGAACAACCTGTGGTTTGCAATACTTCACCGCGATGTGTAAAGCCGTGTACTGATCCTAATTGACAAAAAGTGCAAAAATCAAACCAGCTTCGATCCTCTCATCAACCCTTCCCTGTGTTTTCCTCACATTACAAAGACACCAACAGTTTTTTTGGAGTAAAACTCGACTGGGGAACAAAACGCGCAAAGCATTAGCCCACTACGACTGTGTTTTTTTTCCCTAAAACGATCCGTCAAATGGTGTTGGTTAAATTGTAGTCCTGACTCTCATTCCTACTACTCATGTGTCGGTGGCGGTGGCAGTGGCGGTGGTGGATTCAGGGAGAAGGTCTGGGGGCTCGAATCCCCCCCCCCCCCTCTCCGTCCATCATAATTGAAGGTTTTTCAATGACTGTCTTTTCCGGCACCAAATTCTTGCAGCGACAGCATCGTATTATTTTTACTCAAAATGAGGTATGGGCAATTTACTTGTTCTAAAGTTGTTCTAAGCATATTTAGGCTGTGGTGTAGAAAGGGAAAAAAAGTGATGTATCTTCTGTGTCAAAATTTGCATACACCCCCTTCCCCTTCCCCACACCCAACAAAAAAATTCCTGGATCTGCCCCTAGGGTGTTGAGAAAATAAATCTAACTGAGGGCGAGCAATGGATTCTTACTTTGGTTTTGGTGTCCACTGAGGCGCCCTTTGACAACAAAGCCCTGACGACTGCCACATGACCTTTCCTCGCTGCCGCGTGAAGGCAAACAGCACCGTCCTACACCATGAATAACAAAAGAAAATAAATGAATGTACACTCCCTCAGTTAACTACCAAGCAGATCAATGAATAATGAGACCTTTCATATGAAAACTCAACATTGAAAGCTATCGTATGAGTTTTATTAAATAAATAAAGGGAGGTAAGTTTCTAAAGAAACTGTGGTGCTGCGTCGGTGGGAGAGTGTAACAAGGTAATTTAGTATCATCGACCGAGTTGATAACGTAAATTGGTCACCGTAAAGAGTTTCAAAGTCTACGTTTCGAGCGTTAGCCCTTCGTCTTTCGCTCTTTACAGTGGTCAATTTACGTTATTAACTCAGTAGATAATACGAAATTGCCCTATGTTTATCAAAATACGCTTTTTCTTTGTTAAGCTGTAGTGATTAGAATGTGACAGCTCAGTAGATTTACATTTAGAACCATTAGTAAGTTGGTATCATTATCCCCATATTGGATAATTTAAAATTTCAAAAAGTGTGTTTTTCATACAGCTATTTTGACGAAACCTCGCTCTGTGACCTGTCAAATGACAGCCATAATGTTAAACGTGATATAATTTTCATGTCACAATTCTCCAAAGGAACACATTTTGTTCACCTTGTTGGGCATGTGGAGGGGCACGCCCTTTTTGAGAAACACCAACGCAGTATCAGGATGTCCTGCTTGAGCTGCTATGTGCATCAGTGTACTGCCATCCTAGAAACAAGCATCGTGAAAATTCATAAAAAGTTTGCTTCGTCTCGTTTCTGAGATTCTGCTGCAAACAAAACAACTTTTAACTTCTCATTTCTTCTAATCAGCCATACCTTAGTTCTCAAATTCACGTTGGCTTTCAGTTTATCCACTAAGAACTCGGCGACCACTGAGTGACCTCGTTGAGCCGCCAGGTGAAGTGGTGTGCGGTCGTGCTAACAGATCAGGAAAAAGGGAAAAGTTGTCAATAACCAGTGTTGAGTTGTAGCTTGGCAAGAGCCACTAAATTTGAAAACCCCTTCCTTTTGTGCGACAATTGATGTGTTGTAACCCAGTTATCTATCGAAACGTCTACAAAACATGAACTCACTGAATCCGCGATATTCGCATCAGCTCGAGCTGCTTGGAGAAACTTGATCATTGTTTCATCTCCTTCGTAAGCAGCGATGTGAAGAGCTGTCTGGCCTTCGGACTGTAAAGAAAGAAAGAAAAATAAAAGAGAAGGAAAACAACAAAGGAAGGAAAGATCAGTCAGGAATTTCATCGGCCAGAAAAGAAAACGGAACGAGGACTTTTTTCACTTACGTTTTGGAGGTCCACAGGACAACCACATTCGACAAGAATCTTTGCGATATCAATCTCCCTTTTGCGTACAGCAGCATGCAACACGGTGTCTCCGTTAATCTGAAAATGAATTCAGTTCGCAGCAAAAAAAATTATGATAAAGTGAACTTTGTAGTAACACTTTGAGCCTCACTCGGCCCTATGCCCTTTCAACAATTAACAAAGTATGAGGCACTGGAATAGGGTTTTATTCATACTTGTTCTTTCGTCTTTTCCAATCAAGAGGAATATGGAAAACAACACAATTTTTTGGGATCTAAAATCTGACAATCCTTTCTAGAAAGACGATGACGATCAATGATTGTTCCGGTATGGACGTCATACAAGGCCGTCAAAGTTATTTCTGATATCGAAGTAACGTCTGATGATTCATAAAAACAACCGCACTGCGCCCATACAATAGTATTTCAATTTTTTTTTATTAGATACTCTGTCTTCTTTTGTTTCTCCATATTTTCTGTAACTTCTTACCCCTCTGGTGATCTTCACTTGCTGTTCAGTTTGGGAACTGAGTAGCTCTTTCACTACTTGTTGATTTCCTGCCATGATCGCAAGGTACAGTGGGATCGACCCGCTCTAGAAGAAAAATTACAGCTGTGATTCCTTTTGTTTTGGTTTTTCGACACAGCATCCAAAGAAACTCAGTTGACTCACTTTGTCAGTGAGGAGTTTGGCATCCTTTCCAGTGGCCTTTAGTAGAGTTTTAACAATCTCCAAAGCTCCAGATGGTCGGCTGCATGCGATGTGCAGTGGAAGTTGCTCCTCAGGCTGAAAAGAAGATCAGCAAATCAGTTTAAGTTAAAAGATGAATTGATGTTTATCCTGGACACACGGGAAAACAGGAATCCTCACGCAGCTTTATAATGAGGTTGCGCGCAAAAATTGAATGTTTATCCCAGTCACACGAGACAACAGGGGTCCTCACATAGCTTTAGCTGGCGCGCAAAAGTGGAATGTCTATCCTAGCCACACGGGTAAACAGGGATCCTCACATAGCTTTAGCTGGCGCGCAAAAGTTGAATGTTTATCCTAGCCACACGGTTAAACAGGGGTCCTCACGTACCTTTAGCTGGCGCGCAAAATATGAATGTTTATCCTGGTTACACGGGTAAACAGGATCCTCGCGTAGCTTTATAATCAGTTGGTGCGCAAAAACTGATGCAGGAGCGATAAATCAGAGAGGCTTTGGGAAAATTGGAGGAAAATGTCACAATTACTGAAGAGATTGAGACCGATCAACTAAGTTTCAGTGCAGAAGTTGTATGGTTTCTTAAATTTGGCTAATCAAAGTGAAACGAAGTGTGCAAGTTATTTCAGTTTTAATTTTCCTCTACTTACCCCGGCTGGAAGTGTCGGATCCGACTTCTTAGAGAGAAGAAGTTTAACAATACCGTCAGAGCCAGAACATGCTGCATAATGAAGAGCTGAGCGGCCCCCCTGCAAAGATGAAGGAAGAGAATATTTTAAGAGGGGTTCTGGTCTTTGGTATAAATGGTTGTTTCCAATCGATTCATCACACACGGTTGTAACGAAAACTTTGCGCAGGTGAGCGAACGAACTTGCAAGCGAAATAGTTGGTGGACCATGATTCCCCATTCATAAACAAAACGTGACAGTAACGAGAAGTAAAGAAATGATCACCAACCACGAAGCTCTTGATTCTTAAATAAATTCTCCTTGTCGGCACCTTAAGATATGTATTGAGAACAGCATGGAGAAAATACAAACTGTTGCAAGGCTGTAAAGCGTGAAATTGTAAATATCTAGTACAAGAGGAAAAGGATGGCTGCGTATAGTGAAGATTTAGGTGAACTGCAAATAAGTGACTTCGAAACTTCAAGTTACTCCTTAACCCCTACATGTGACCAGCATCTAATTTCTCCCAACAGAATCACACATTAAGGTCATGAGAATAAAGGAAACGATCTCGAATTCAAGAAGCTCTTGATTGTTAGAACAAAGATTCTCCTTGATAAGTAATAAAGGAAATGTGTAGAGAACAGTAAGGAGAAATTGCATACTGATAACAGGGTGTAAAGGGTTAAATTTTTCAGGATTCAGAGTCAGTGGCGAATCTCCGTTTTCCATGCATACAGTTCATAAGACTATAATCTTCGAATCAGACTGCTTTTCGTTTGTAAGCCTCGTCTGAAAGCTAAATATAGGGGAGAAATATAGTTGATAACATCAGTCTTTATTCTTACCAGTGGTTGAGCTTCAGATGTGAAAGATAACGATTTCTTGATGGTTGAAAGGAAAGATTGACTTGGCCTTTCTCGGATGTTAGTATTGATTCTTTTAGTGATCAGCTGATGCTCTGGTATATACTTTCGTTATTGATCAACAATATCCTTCCAAAACTGCTGCACTAAGGTTGCGTATTACCTATAGCGATTATTTTTAGTTTGGCATTGAGCTTTGTCAGAAATAAAATATTCTCTTTATCATTTTACAAACACTTTCACCGTTCCAAGTCGTGATCACGTAATGCACGCCGGCAAATCGCATAATCATGAAAATTTTTGGTCTGTGAAATGATATTTGTCCTTTAATGATAGTTTTCGGATAATACGTTCATATTGCACTGGTAAGTCGTGATTTGTGCGTGCGACTGGTTTTCCCCATGAACACACAGGTTACCGCGGTCAAACAAGAATAAATCTGTCGAATGTTGGCATTCCATAAAACTTTCCTTCAAATGCAAGCAGCTTATGCCCCGATTTCAACTACTAACTTTTCATGTGTCGAATGTATGAATGGATCAGCATAATCCATGTTTGCATCCCGCAATTCCCCTCTTTCACTGAGGTGACTGATTACGAGGCTGATTAAGGTCAACTTCTGGATCAACAGTCGATCTTTATCGCTTGAGTCTACCAAAATAAATATTTATGATTGATACTTGAAAGGTTTGGCGTTTGAAGCGAGCCTTAAGCTACATGTGGCTCAATATCGCCGAGGGGTGTGCTGCGCTGGGAATTTACTGACCGTAGAAAGGCGTTATGCAGTCACCATGCAATAGAGGATCATAATCTAATCAAAATTTACTTTGAGCATTTTGCAAGTGATGAGTTATTGAATTACCCTCCACAAGCTTTAATGAGAAATGTTAGTTTTTGTTACATAAATCCTTACTTTGCACGTCGTGTGTCGCTGATAAATTTGTTATGAAAGATGAAAAACCGTCGGCCACAAAGATCGCTTAGGTAAATATAAAGATTAGTTTATACTTTTTCATTCTATTCACTGTATTCTGAAAGAGACTTGCAACATTTTCAACTCGGTTCAATTTCTGCAGGACTAACGCTGAATTTAAAAAGTCAGCTATATAAGGAGTTTGATGCAAAACCTTTTTAAAATTTCATAACACGAAAAAATTTGGAGCAAGACTCTAGAGTAAAACATCTTTTAAGATGCAATCAAAACGCAATTTTCTTTCATGCTTCAAATTGGTTGAAAAAATTAGTGCAAGAAATAAACTGCAATGAATACTGCGATCGCTTCCCGTGAAGAGTTAAAGGTGGCAATGAAGGCACGAGGTTATTACTTCAACTAATGAACTAAAATCTCGAGCAAGTTGTCTTCAAAAGTGATTCTTTCTCAAGATCCTGTCATTTTGTGTGTGCAGTTCGAAAACGCAAATGTCGGAAGCAATCTCCAAATAAAAAATAGGTTCTTTTAGCTGTGAATACAAACGCCTTTGTCGAATCACAAGCGCTTCCGTCTTTGATTTTATCTCATTGTGAGCGATCAGTTTGTTTGACATCAAAGACACAAGACAAAGACTTAAGCGTCAAGTATATAGAAAATAATAAAATATACTTTTAATTTTCTCTTTTTTTCTTTTGACCGAAATCGTATCAGCGAAAACTTACTTCAAAAATTTAATGAAGTTGGTTAAAAAAATGGTATAACATGCTTAATGAAATTTGCTTATTCAGCTCGATTCCACTTAGAAGTAATTGTAAAGATAATTCTTTTTATCCAAAGATATGTATGAAGGAAACACTTGTCTTAAAATGGGCGAGAGATGGCGAATAAGATATGAAATAACTAGGGAAAATGGTTGGAAAAATAATGAGCGAAAGTTTGATATCATCACAAGCTGGCAAATCTTGTCGCGTAAATTGTAACTGTAAACACGAAAAGGCCGTGTACAGCCTCATTTAACTTTAGCCATTCTTTGCAGTCGTTTTGATATCAAAAAGAAAATCTCTCGAGTAAAGGTTGACTTAAGAGAAATAACTTTTTGTATTTACTTTGGAAAAATTTCATCTCGTCCTAGTTTCAGTTTATAAACATAAAGTGTATATTTTTGGTCAACAGATGATTAGAACTCGACCTCGCATTGGTCGAAGTTGTGATTTCATTTTCAAATGACAGTCATGGCTGAATCATTTGTAGCGATAATGTATGGTAAATTTTAAAATGACTTCTTGTCGACAGTTCATGTTTCGAAAGGCGGGGATTTATTTTTTTCTCGGTAAAAAAAAAATCACTTAAAAACGCCTAGAAAACGATAAACACATGCAAATTGAAACAAATCATAGAAAGATAAGAGAAATCATAAAGTCCTTTCATACGCTTAAGGAAAACTCACGCGACTTGAAAAAGTGGTAACCGTTTCAATAGATTTTAAACAAAATATTGAAATCAAACATATGCGGCGATACTGTTGAACAATGGAAACTATATGTAAAAGACGCGGCTATTTCTAAGCAGGCTTAGCTGCTCCGTGTATTGACGATCTCGATCAGAAAATATCTGTCTCCCAAATAATTTTGTAAGAAACAAATTTACATAATCACCGATTCACGTATTTCATAACGAGAGGAAGGTAAGAACAAAGTAACTCTGCGTGTAGTTAGCTGAATACGTTTTGAAAACAATATTTCTTTAGAAACGAAGGGAAATATACCTTCCGCTCAAGATAAAGAAAGCCTCGACTGAATATTGTGCAAAAAGATAAATGTGAATGTTTACGAAGGGCTAAAAGATTTTTCCGCAAAACCAAACCGCATATAGATCAACTATAGGTAAAATTTAATTTGTTACGAACAAATTTTATAAACCTGGACAAAGTTATAATTGCTCGAAGAGATAAGGCGAAGTCACGTGACGGAGTTGCGCGAAGACTTCAGTTGTAGTTACTAAGATATGAACAATCGTCTTTAAAATCAGCTGCCTCTCTCTCCAATTTGTCATCACCGTAGGCCATTTTTGTTGGTGTTAAAATCAACAAACGATACGTCTCTAAGAATTGCTCGCACAAAGGGATCAAAGGCAGTGAAATTTTTCTCTTCACAAACACACTTTGTCGTGCAAATTTTTTTTTAACCAGGAGAAAGATCGCATAGTGAGCACAATTAGAAGCTGGATATAAAAATTTAATAAGGCATCAATATTTGATCCTGAAAATTGAAATCAAGGACCAGGTTGAAACTGCGGTTTACCGCTATTTTGCAAGTGCAATGTTTATCCATCCAAGGAGTGTGTAATTTTCAAGGTACGCTTGTGTTTGGTCCGAATAAAAGACGAGGACTTTCAAGGAACTCGCCAAGTTTTTTACCCAGCTGATATGCATTTTACCTTTTTTTCTTTACTTCAGCTGTGTTGATGCAGGAAATCCAATTTTAAGATTCTTTTCTACAAAAACACAACGAAACAAAAGGTAGCAGACAAATATCGAGAGCTTCCATTATAATTTTCTTATTTCAGCACACAAAAATTCAGAAAGAAAACATGTTTCGTTTAAAACACTGCAAACATAACTCCGTTAAGATTCTAAAACGTTTTACCGAGTCTTCAGTTTACCTTACGATAAGCAAAATTTGAAACGCACATAAACTACTTTATTTCACGTTTTCGTTTAGTTAGCAATTTGCGGGAATATCAAATAAAATTGGCCGCTGCACCACGCATTGTAAGAACAAGTGGCCAAGAACAGTCCTCATCGGTTCGAGATGTGCGATCAATAACAATCCGGAAATTCACAGAGGAAAAATAACTAACTCCACATCCTTAAGTGTTTCCAAAATATTTTCTGTGAAATCTCCACTAATTAGACTATGGCCCAGAAGAGTCACCTTATTTGATGCGGTAAAGCTGACAAAATGGCAAATCAATCTTTTGATTACCTTCTTGTGTAATTAAAGAAAATGGCTCGGAAAAACCTTGTCGTATTAACAAGTGAAGTGCAAGTGGACCGGATTTCGCCGCCTACCTTGTCCTTGTCTGTGACCACGGCGCCCAGTTCAAGTAACTTTTCCACGATGTTGTGCTTGTTGTCACGGGCAGCCAACATTAACGGCGTTAAGCCGTTGTCCTGTTAAAAAATAATAGGAAAAAAAGAAGAGAGATGAACCTGAATAAAATTATTCAAAATGAATAAAGTTACAAATGCTCATTTTAAACGGCGGGAAAGGGGGTTTGAGGAAACAAACCTCTGCTTTGGAAGCCATGATTTGTTAGAGGCGCAACCAAACCAGTCGCGCGGCACGCAGTAATGAGATTTACGCCGTGCGCAATCAGCACAAAACTGAATGGGAGCGAGCAGCTTGCCTGGCGAATTCAATATTCATTATTACGACCACTGTGTATTCAGTGGATTTTGGTCCTTTTGCAGAGGACGAGTTAACGAAATTAAAAAGCCATTAAATTCTACGACGGTTTTGCGGCGTTAAGTTACGGAACAAAACTTCACAATAGGACGAGTTTAAGGAGCAGCGCAAAACGTGATAAGCGTTCAGATAAATTACTGCTGTACGTCGCGTATGGCAATAACGAAACAATAACAAGCCTCAACCAAAAAAAGCGTTAAGGTGTAGGCTGAGGTAGTCTAGCGAGCGAGAGAAGGACAGTGTAACGAGAAATAGAACTAGCAATAATATCTTGGTTCAATAATGAATCTGTGTCCAGGTGCTTAAAAATTAAGACCGCCTAAGCCTTAATAACTAACTAAAGATCATTTCTATTCCATAATTGGTATTGTTAAGTTTCTTGGAACTTCTCATCCGCCCATCTTTGATCGTAAAACAGCCGGTAAAAATTGTAACACTAAAATTTGCAATTTCGAACCACAAACCAATGAGGATGATGCCCGATGAGCGTGAAAAAAAATCTCGAAATCAAAAGTGCTTTATCTACCGCGGGGTTTTTGTATTTCGAAGGCCGCATTTTTGTGCGCAACAATGTATCAAAAAATTCTTAATATTGTGGAAGGATCATTCATTACTTCGACCTCCGTCGACGATACTTCCATGTTGTTTCGTTCCAGGCTGTTGAGGTGTTGATCCACAGCCGGCCAATCTCCCTTTAGAGAAAGCGCCAAAACGCGGTTTAAGAGTTCCCATCTAAGAATCGATGGCGGAGTTTTGGTATCAAAGAGTACTCTGGAGCCTCGTCGTGGTTGGATCTGAGCCACTGCTGAGTCCGTCCCTGGGCTTGGAGGCCTAAGCGATGGTCGGCGGCTCGAAGGACTTGATCCTGGTCCTCCATTCGGCATTGCAAAGGTTCCGGAAAAATTAATCAGTTCCTCACCACAGCGGGCTCTTACTTTCTATTAGCTCTGCATTCACGTTTTACTTATTCATTCAAGCTTTATCTGAATAAATCAGTTGCCTCTTGCTGTTTATCAGGTCATAATTACTGTCATTTCGACGAAACATTCCGCCATGTAGAAGGTTGATCAATGGATGCGCATTTTGTGGTTCAGACAATCACCAACGCATCATTTTCTAGTGATTTAAGGTTCGAAACCGACTAAAGAAACTGCGCATGTGTAGCAATTACAGCTTTGTTTTGAAATGATTACTAAAAATTACATTTTGCAACCACGCTCTAATTTTAAACCCGAAAAAAAATCAAAGCACATAAAAATCTCTTCGCCAATTAAATCCAAATTTATTTTTTATTACCTCCAAGTGCCATGCTTTTTTTCATGAAATTAATTCTCAACCCAAGGAAGTCGTTGAAATATCAAATAGAACGGTGTATTCATGTGTAATTTCTCCAATGTTTCCGATTTATTTGCATAAGAATGGATGCGCCAACTACTTCGGACACCTCAAATCGTTTGAAGATTGTCAGGCTTTGTATAAACACACATATAAGAGAGCGTCGATCTTCTCATTGTGATGCGGTTTTTACAGGAACAGGTGCGCAAATGACGAGGTGATAAAACGTGATATAGGGAACAGAGTAATGAGCAGTACATGATTCATCCATTAAATTAAACAGAAATTTTACTAAGCGAATGTATAAAAGTCGGGTTGTTGAGAAGCGCGTAAAACTTCCGCGTAATGAGGTATTCCTTGTCAACAAAGGAAAGGAATGTTTGTGAAAGTCGTTTGTTTGATATTTTTTTCTTATTTCCATTTGCAAAGAATAAGGAAACAGTGGATTTGTTGTATCACGATTGAGGATCTTTGTAACATTTTACCGAAAGCAAAATAACGCGAATTCGGCTAAAGTCTCGCAATCGTGCCACTAAAAATACTTAACTAGCACTTAGACAAAACCCTTAAGACTTTGTTTCTTGGCCTCTTATTTGGAAAAAAAGTTTTCAGAATTCGTTTCTTGGTCTAATGTGTTCTATTCAATCAGCCGTTTCAAGGCGGAACTTTCCGCGTAAATTTCCTGCATAACTGAAACTGTCCGAGATCGAAGAAACTGAGTGATTGAATCATGTTCGCACGAGACTGTCTTTGAACTATCAGTTATAACTCTAGACGACATAAAGATTGAAATGATGAAGTATTAAAGATGGGAATCATTTGGCTGCGGAACCTTAAATATTTCGTAATTTTGGAGTAAGTTTCCCTTAGTACTCCTCCGTGAGATGTTTATCGTTCCACACTTGACTTTTTTGACGTTACGAACATCTGAATTTAAAATCATTCAACTAACTTTGTTAAATAACCTCTGCTTTCACTCAAGTAAATTATTTACATTAGCTGTCAACAAGAGATATTCTGCTATTTTTCAACCTGGCTATCAAGAGGATTCTGAGAAAGGTGAAAAAATTAGGGTTGTGTTTTTTTCCCAGAAACCTTTGCTGTAGACTTCTTTCGTAAATTTACTTAAGCCCCGCTTGAGAACAAAGTATTTCAGATACAAAATTTGCCATTTGGGTTTCATGATGTTCACAAAAACGTACCGTGATGAGATACAGAAAATTGAAGATAGGTAAAACAAAAACTGTTATCAAATGAGGTTAATTACGATAGGAACCATTGACATCTATTTTGTTCGTAAATGCAATATTTGCTTCCCGTGACGTAAGGTGAAATTCATATAATCGCATTGAATAGCAAATGAAATAGTGCTTAGTACGAAAACTAGCAAATGCGGACTTGAATTTAGCCTACTGCTAAAATTGCAGCAAAAACAGAAACAAAGTGAAATACGTTTTGTGTAAATATAAGTATTTGCCATTGTCTCTTCGGATTTTAGAAGATGAACATGCACCTTAGCAATGACAAATGAAACTTTAAACCTGACACATCACATCAGGTTTAAAACAAGCAATAAACAGAAAGTAAACGTAAACCTACTTCAGTGCAGAACAAGGACGTCTCATTGATATAGTCTGAATCACTTATCCAACCTCCGTGAAGGCGAATACCGATCGGAGAACGAGCGCGACCTCTCGAATCTTCGGGAAGATCCATTCGGCGTTTCAAGGGACTGTGGTTTCCGAAAGTTGAGTTAACACTGACGTACACTCGAATTTGTCTTTCATATGAATCTTAGCGATAAAAGGACGATTCTCGCGTTTTTGTTTAGCGATCGTGTGTCATAAGTTAACCGATGACTTGTGTTGATAATATCATTGTCTGAGTTCATTGAAGATACCAGGTCGAACAAGACATCTCTTGGAATCACTCTAGCGCGTCCTAAAACGATTGTTTTATATCCCAACGTAATTTGGCCAAACAAGAAAGCTCGAGACAAAAGGCTGCCAGTCTAAAAAGCAGAAAGTTTTTCTCTTTAGAGACACATAATTGTCGCTAATAGCACCATAGAAAAGGTGTTTAGCAATGCATAAAATACTGCATTAAGTGAACGGACAGCGAAGTTTTAAGGAAGAGTAGAGGTCATTGAGCCATGTACACTTATATTAATGGACATAACTGACAATTCCACTATGCCTTAATGATAATCAAATACACCGAGTTACTTTACAGTTCGCAACTTCAGTTGTTTACGAGCATGACTCATGCACACTAACTCTAATGAACCATTTATTCCTACGTCACTGATACAATGCAAGTGCCAAAATAGCACAAAAACTTACATAAAAGCTACATCATTCATTTATGTGCAAAGAAACCTGTTAGTAAACTCTGTTTGCTTTCGTGCAAGTAGGTAGCCATGATTCTGATCTCTATAAAAGGATCAATAGTAAGTGTTGATTATCTACAAATCTTTTTCTTCTTTTTTTTTTGCGTTACTTCTTCGCATGAAGTCTTTTACCCTTACGAGTAACAAGCAGCTCATCATTTCCTCCTGACAGCATCGCTGCCAAACCAAACATTGTGGTCATGACAATAACAGAAGTGATCGCCGACGAAAGGAGCCCTTATTAAACTGTTAAACAAATTCTCCGTTACATTACGATGGGAAATGTATAGAATACAATATGGAGAAAATGCGCATTGATCACGGTTAGGGATGGTGAATTCAGTGTAAACGGCCGTCGTGGAGACTTTCTTAAACTCCTTGTCCGGCTCGCTCGTAGCTCGCTCTTTATTCGGTTTTGATAGTTGATATGTAAACACGACCGTCGTGTAGCTACTTGTCTGAATAGAAAGAAGGCTGGTTTTTTATATTTTTGACTTTGAAAGATCGCAAGTCTAGTGGTCATCAGCGTTCACGTTTACAGTTTCGTCGTTTCCGCAGGAAAGAAATCATTCGAGTAGGCCGGAGTCTACGATATAGTTTACCCTTGGTCAGCGCTGTCCCGTGGTAACATTGTGACATATTTCCTGTTGAACTGCAAATATTTTTTTCTATAATTTCATACCAAAGACATGATTTAAAGGAGTGCAGAAGACTCCAGATATCTCTTAAACAATTAATCCACCCTAAACAAATATAGATCTTATTAAGAGAGAAGAGAAGAGAGAAAGTGAAACTACGTTCTTCATAAATACCTTTTCCTCGTCCGTTAAATCATTCTCTGTCATAGCTCGCGGAGCCCCTGAACCTTTCCGAGATGTAAGGTATTTTTTCAGAGAATCGGGCACTGTTAGATTTTGGGCTTCATTTGCCGATGAAGGCATGACTCACGAAACGGCTCACAAAAAGAAAAAAAAATTACCA